CCCTTCTCAGTTCAGAGCAGATCACATCAATAAAGACAAATGCATAGAATTCAGGGAGGTGATTGACCTAAAAACTCTGTATGAATAGAAAATACAGAGCACTTGGCCATGGAAGGAGGGTGCCCAAAGAACTTCGAGTCCATAAACGGTTGTATTGTGGAAAGGTATAGTCTTGTTGGATGGGATGAGGGTAGGAAGTGATTCAGAGACAGAATTCAGCTCAATGAAAGGGGGAAATTTCCTGAGGAATGGGCTGCCTTGAGGGAGTGAATTTCTGGAGGCTGGAGGGACAAATGGAAACTGGAGAAGAGACCAGACCCTGAATTCTTCTGTTTCCTAAGTCTGAGGGACTTCATTTTAGCTGGCATATCATTTTACTCAGACACTGGATTGGACTACAAAGATGAATGAGCCCTGACCAGTGCTGCTCAGTGGATAGGGCGTTGGCCAAGCACCAGAGGTTTGGTTCCTGGCCAAGGGTACATACCTGGGTTGCAGGCTCAATCCCCAACCTGGGTCAGGGCGCATGCAGGAGGCAACCAATCAATGTGTCTCACATTGCTGTTCTTTCTCTCTCTCTCCCCTCCCTCCCTCCCTTCTACTCTCTCTAGAAATTAATGGAAAAATATCCTCTGGTGAGGATTAACCAAAACAAAGGTGAATGCAAGTCCTTGCCCATAGCCCACCAGGGAGCTGGGCGTGTGATGTACTGGGAAGAGTTGTTTGACCATGGTTACCGTAGGAGAGGATGGGCAAAGGGAGCCCAGGAAGGGTGTGGCCAGCTATGCCGGCAGAGCCTGGGAGGACTTTCCAGTAGAGATGATGATTGAACTGGGCCTTCATACACTCAGGACGTGAATCTCCTTTGGGAATAGTGTTGGCAGGAGGGATAAGGTCACTTCCCTTAGGTGGGGGCCCATCTGCCCCACCCTCAGTCCATGAGGAGGGGTCCCTGGATTGCAAAGACACTTCTACCGGAGATGATCATTAGCAAACCCTGCCTGTGGCACAGTGTGTGGGGTCAGGGGGAGCTCAGAGGGGAGCAGACCTGGGCCCTGTCCTCTAAGAGCCCATCGAGTTGAAGAGCTGATGGGAATAGAGGGAAACATGCAGGAGGCGGCATGAGAAGAGCCAGCGACTGCCCGGTCACAGAGCGATGGGAGCGACAGCCTCACCTGGCCTGTTGGAACCACTTTCCGATTTACCGAGCATTTTGCCATTATTATGTCATTTGATTGCACAGAAGCCAGATGCCGTGAGCACTGTCGGCATTACCATTGCCTCCTCCCTGTACCTGACGGTGAAACCAAGGCTGTATAACCCCTAAGGGGCAGAGCCGGGCCTGGGGCCTTGGTCCTCGGATCCCCTGGGCTGGGTGACGCTGGGCGTGTGCACAGGGAAAGCAGACAGGAAGCAAGGAGGGCAAGCACAGCTCACTCCGGTGTCAGCTGGTACACGATCAAAGCCAACAGGGTTCTTACAAAAAATAACCTGATAATTGATACATTTATTGATTGGAGCCATTGACCACTGTGCTGTAAAGATCTGGAGGAGAAAATCTCGAGGAGAGTTTACAGTCTGTGCCCTGGGAGGTCATACCCTGCAATGGCAAGGAGCTTGGATGCTGGCGCTTTTTATTGGGCAAATTACTAAAGCTCTCTGAAAAAAATGGGGATCACTGGGATGATGGCACCTGCTTTATAGGCTGTGGATTAAATAGGACAATGCATACAGAAGGTTTTTTTGTAAATTAGTGCTGTTCATGTTGTCATTATTAATGTGGTTTTCCAGAGAGATATACACAATGCTGGGGAAGAAAAATGATGATTATGATGAAAGTAATAGTTATAATTTCTTGAGCATCCAATGCACATTGGGGACCACGGCAGACCCTGGAGTAGGACCCAGTGCCTGGGTGTGAAGGGTGCTCGATGGTAGGGGAGCCGGTTTGCTCTGGGGGCCCTGACAGAGGCACACGGCCTGGGTGGGGCGGGGAGGAAGGCGGTACCCCCATTGCTGTATCCATCAAGACTTCCTCGTACTTTCTTGTGTCAGGACAGAGAACACCCCTGCCGGAGGGCAGCTGCCATCTCCTTGTCTTGCTGAGGGATGGATACCTCTTTTCACTTTTTGTGGAGAAGTTTCTACTCCTGTTGACTGACAGCTGCCTGGGGTCAGGCAGGCTGGGTGGGAAGGGAGAGCTCATGGGGGGGCCTTCTAGGAGAGGAAGTCGGGGAAGTGGGGAAGGGGCCTCCTGAACTCCACGTCAGACCCTGGCTGGTGGTAGGTGCCCAGGAAGGGGGTCCCCGCTGCCCTTTATGAATGAAGCTTGGCACTCCTACTCTTGGTCCTACTAGCTCCGAGGGGAAGCAGAGCTGGGTGGAGGGCAGGCTTCTCTCTGGTGTAGTAGCCTGGGGAGCTGCTTTGCGGTTGTGTCATAGGACGGGGCCCGGAAAACTCTGCCAAACAGAGAACTTTTCCCCAAAAATCTTCAGGGGAGGAATCACCCTTCCCGCGTTTGCGTGCCTGCTCCTCTGCCCTCTCCGAAGGGGCTAGGAGGGCGAGCGGGCAGACGTGAGCCGAAGCACCAGCACGTGTGTCTGGGTTTTGTGCTAGACAGGACTCAGCTGTCCCCTCCCAGGTCCCGGGGACTGGTGGAGTTGACTGACAGCGGCATTTGCCAGGATGCTGGAGCGCAGGGCTTCTCAAACGCTGGCTTGCTGGGAATCACCTGGTTAAAGTGCTGGCTCTGCCTCCTATCCCCGCCCCCCTTGAGATTTTTGCATTTCGAACAAGCTCCTCATGCTGCTGATGCTGCTGCCCTGAACCACACTTTGAGAAGGGAGGCAGCCCTGGGTGCTCACTCACATCGCCTCAGCCCTCTGTCGCGTGCTGACGTGCTGGTCGGCCACCAGAGCTGCCTCCGCCTGGACCTCTGAAGTGCCAGTGAAGGGGAGAGGTGGCTGAGTGCCCCAAGCTCCTCATCTGCAGCAGGGTCGCTGGGGCACGTTCTGCACTGTCTCCCAGGGTCCTCAGCTGTCCTTAGCAACTGCCTGGTCAGGAGCCCTCATGATTGCCTGTCTTCCTGAGATGGCCCCTCAGATACACTGCCTGCGAGTGCACCCTTGTCAGGGTCTGCTCCTGGAGAACCCCACTACAGACGTGATCAGTTACAACCCACTCTGACCCCTGAAGAGAAAGGGGTTCACCGGAAGCCTATCAGGAGGCTCAAGGACCACCCTCAGAAGGCAGACACGGACTAGGGAAGTCCAGAGAACCCAGCGCCCTGCTCCCTCTGTCCTGGTGACGTGCAAAGCCAGTTGGCCTCTGCCTGTGACACCAGTCCATGCTTCCACCTCAGGTGGGGGAGAGGAGGAGGACCTGAGCCGCTTGGAGATCCATAGTGGGGGTGGGCACAGGCCCCCCCAACAAGATGACCCATAGTAGGGGAATTGCCTTTACATAGGAAGCAGGATGGGATGCTGAGTTTCCAGGTTGTAGGTTGAAAAGGAGGCTGCAGATGAAAATGCTGAGCAGCCACTGGCCCCCAAAAGACAAGTCTCAGGCAGTCTGCTGGGCATAGTCACAGCTTGCTCCTCGCCCTCGGGAGGAGGATGTGGTCTGAGCCCTTAACTGGAAGCCGGTGGGGATGGGCAGCCTCATCCCTGGAAGTTCCTGCAAGGCCATTAGCATGAAAGAGCCCGGCCCTGCCCACGCTGTGAATAGTACTTTTACTTTCCATTGTTCTCGTGCTCTAGGAAACTTCCTCTCCTGTCCCGGAGTTGAATTTAGTAGCTGTCCATCCTAACAAAGAAACAGCCAAGAAGTCAGCCCTGGCGTGAATGGGACATGAATCCCCTTTCTGTTAAGTTCCTGCTCCCTCCCGGCAGGTCTGGGCTGGTAGGATGAGCCCACGCCAGGGGGTGGAAGAAGCAGAGACCAGCAGGAGGGCGCAGGGAAGATGGGCCCTGGAGAGCTCAACTGCCAGGGTGGAACTTGACCTTGAAGGCGGCCAAGGGGCTGCTGAGCTTTCTTCCTCTCGGGACTGTCTCCCGACCTTTCGTGTGTTTCAGTCATGCCCATGTCATGGTAAGGGGAGGAGAGCCGTCTGTTTTCTGTGTTAGTTTCCACTTTGGAGCTGGTGTGATGGTCCTGTCCATCTTTGCAGGTCAGGCACACAGGCCGGTGGCCAGTCTGAGCCTGTGTGCCCTGGAGGAGGAGCCCAGGCCCTGCCCTCTGCCTGCGGCGGGGGTGTCAGGTGGTACCATGTGTCTGTCAGGACAGCAGGAGCTGGGGATGGGGCCGGTTCCTTCTGAAGGCGGTGGGGACCCAGTGACAACACGATCTCTCTGGGACTGGCCTCTCTCCTGGGGATGGTGTCAGTGTGGAGAGGCCACACTGCCTTTGCACCTGCTGCCGAGGCCCTGCTTTTCCAGGGCCACCCGCACCCCCGTCTGCGGGGCTTCGTGTGGGTGACCGGCTCGAGAACTCTGTCCTACACTCTGAGGTGGGATCCGGACATTGACATCTATCATGAGTGCCTGCCCAAGTGCTTCTCAGGTGAAAAGTTTGAAAATCCTTGTGTGAACTCTTCTGAGGTCCCTGCCAGTGGTACCCCTCTTGACAAGCTGACTCAACCCTCCCCGGACCACGGCGGATCTGAAACAACGCGTCTTCCTTCCCCGACACGTGGGGGACGCTTGGGCTGCTCATTCCCTCTTACAGGCAGACAGTCTCGTGAGGGTTGTTTGGGATGGACTTCGGGAGGGTGCTGAATCCCGAGAGGCAGGAGCAGGCCTGTGGCCACCGGGGTGGGCCGTTACTGTAGAAAAGGGTTTTCGGGTTGTCCAGCCACCTGGCCTGAGGCTGGCCATGGGCAGCTGAAGAGGCCATCTGGGTGTGGCCCCGAAGGACTCAGCCAGTGCTGAATCCCAAAGTCAGTGCTGACTGACTGGTGACGTTGAACAACTCTTAGACCTTCTCCCTTTCCTCCCCAACAGGTGTGCGCCTTGACCGGGTGCGTGGAGGCCGCCAGAAATACAAGCGACGGCTGGACTCGGAGAGCAGCCCCTACCTGAGCTTACAGATTTCCCCACCTGCTAAAAAGCCATGTGAGTGCCAGGGCGGCCCCTCCCCCTCTGCCGGCGTCTGTCCGGGGACATCTGGCGTCCCGTGGGGAAATGCCACCTTCCCAGCGCTGGGTTATGGGACGATGTGGATCTCGGGGAGGTGACCCCATGCCTGGCCTTGGTGTCAGGCACTTCAGAATGATACTTTCCTCAGAAGGTCTTTCCCTACGGTACGCCCCAGAATGTGGTTCCAAATGAAGCGTGGTTCTGAGAAGGCCCGAGCTCCGGCGTCCAGAACAGGCCCCCCTAGCACCCACTCGAAGTAGGTTCCTCTTGGGAGATTTCACCAGGCAACTTTCCTGGGAGAAAAATTTCTCAACAGCCTGAATCACCACTGTCAGCGACTTCGTGGAGTCAGAAAGGGGGGGAAGATTACAGCTACATTTGACCTTTCTGGGCTCCTCAGTAGCTGCCTTTCTTCCTGACCCATCCCAGGCTCCACCCCGCCCCTTCCCTCTTTCCAGACACTGACGTTCCTGCTTTGGTCTTTGCAGTGACCAAGATTGTCTCCTACCTGCTAGTGGCTGAGCCGGACAAGCTCTACGCCATGCCTCCCCCCGGCATGCCTGAGGGCGACATCAAGGCCCTGACCACTCTCTGTGACCTGGCGGACAGAGAGCTGGTGGTCATCATCGGCTGGGCCAAGCACATCCCAGGTGAGTCACGCAGGACCAGGGAGAGCGTGGAGCCAGGACCTCCAGCCACTGTCCCCATAGCTGGCTGTGGTTCTGGTGCACGGGAGCCCGGAACTCAAGAGCCCTGTAGAATCTTGGCGAGCCTGTGTCTTTCTGGTTTTATTTTCTCTCCTTGCGGCGTTGGAGTTGAGCAGGTGTTTGGGAGATTCCGTAATGTTCCTACACCGCTGGGGACTTTTCAGAACTGGTTTTCATTCTAAAGTGGTTATGATTGCATCGACAATAGGTGATATGCAAAAGGCAAATGATCTGAATCCTTCTAGACCTTTTGGACATGCTGGAAAACAACGCAGAAGAGGGATTGGATCTCTAGCCTCCCGTTAGACAGGCAGGGTGGAACCGTCAAGAATATAGCTTGGGAATCAGATTGGGATTCAAATTCTGGGCCTGCAACTTACTAGCTGTGTGACCCTGGACGGCTCCACCCACTTCTCTGTGGGAAGGACCTCCTTGGCGGGCTGCGCGAGGCTGGGACGAGGCTGGGACGTGGGCATGCGGTGAGCACGAGGCGCGTGCTAACATCAGTGTGTGCTCGCTGCTGCCACTTGGCCGATCTCTAAGGAAGGCCTGTCTCCTTGTGCGGATTCTGCGATTCGATGATTATGTCTGGCATGGAGAGTGTGTGATGATTGTGTTTCAGCTGGTACAGACTTTTCTTCATTGCGTGCGGTCCCCAGCCCCTCTTGTAGACTTTCCTGTCCTGGATAAACGCTGGGTGCTGATTTTTCATTTTGTCCCTGTAGACACTGATACCCACATGTTTTCCATTACATACATGGTGGGGCACTTTCTAAAGTCTGCAGGTTATTCCTTTGAGGTTCTAGCAAACTTGGCTCATAGTGTGGCGGAGACATCCCATTGGACTTGGATTCTTATTAGCTCTGTGGCACGGACACTTGATCTTGTCTGTAGGTCCTTTTTCTGTTTGTCTGTCATGAGCTCTGGTTCTGGAGCAAAGGTGTCCTAGGCTTTAGATGCCAAGACCCACAGGTGATGGGGGCAGTGAGAAGGTCCAGTGTAAGACGAGTGCTCAGCTCAGGGGAGGGGCCTTCCCGCAGGCAGGGCTGGTCACAGCCCCTGTGGCTCAGGTGGTGCTGGTGTCACTGAGCTGGCAGGATGCCTGGAATTCCCACTTGGGAGGCTCCCTGGTGGCCGGAGGTGTTTTGACTCAGGAGTGGGTTCCCTGGGAATCTGGACTGGAGTGCCCTTACAAAGGAGCTCAGCCTCTCGGGATTACACACTCAGTAGTTTTGAATCTGTCTTTTGCTGGTTCAGCACAGAGGGGGGTCAGGCCACTGCTTAAGACACCTCAGCCTGGATTGCTCCACTAACCCAGGGCCAAATCAGGCACAGTCCCCGGCACCCCTCCCCCATCACACACTCCCCTTCCAGGTTGAGCAGAAACTATATCCAAGCAATGGCTCAGGGGTGGCTCCTGGTGGTCCCCTGGGTCACTGCTTCCCTGTCCTACCACCCACCCCTGCACCGCCTCCAGGAGGGCACAGCACAGCCAGGAGCACTGTGTCCTGCACCCATTCCCTCCCCCGTCCTGTGTTCCCAGCTCTGTCTCCTGTCTGTGCCCAACCAAGAGGGCAGTGGGCAGACAGAATGGTCCTGGGGACACAGACCCTTGACTCAGACGGACCTGGTTTCTGATCCCAGCTGTCCTTACTGGTATTACAAGATATGTCATTTTTCTGAGCTTCAGTGTCCTCTGCTGTGAAATGGGACTCAGAGTAGAGCCCCTCCCTGCTGTCCTGGAGGATCGGCCCACTTGGCCCCGGCCCCCACGCGGCAGAGACCGTGTTCAAAGCCCCCCCCGCCCTTTGCATCATCGTTTCTTCTTGTCCAAAGCTGAATTCTTTTTGATTAAAAAATAAAATAAACATAGGGGCTCACTTGTCTGCCTCAAACGCTAATTTGTCTATTTTGCATAAATCTGCATGCTGAATTATTTGGGCCTGACCTTCCAGTGTTTAAGGTAAAATTAATTAATTGAGTCTTCTGCCACTGCATGTAAACCTCATATTAAGGGCGACGACACATCAAGTGCCTGATATATTTAAACTAATCGACTTAATCCCATCTTAGATTAGACGGAAAACTCATCTGCAGGCCTGCTCAACAGCCCTTAGAGAGAGAGCAGGTGGAGTTGGAGGGGTGCACGCTGGGTCCCACCTGGGACTCGCTGCTCCTGTCCATCTCGGTTCCCGGACAGACAGGGGGACTGGCTCCCAGGACTGCTCAGGAATAGAGCTTTGAAGAGGAGCCCAAGCCTCCTCCATCCTTAAGCAAAGGAAACCACATCTCATGCCTCGGTCTCCTGCAGCCTCCAGCCCAGAGCCCAGCGCCCAGAGGGTGCTCGGAGCTGCCGTGGCATTTATTGGGCATTGACTGTATGTAAGATCTCTCGCTAGGATTTGTGGCTGGTACAGAGAATGAGATTAATTCCTGTCCCAAGGATCTCACTTAGGAATAAGACAGATAATCCTTCAAAAAACTTGGTCATGGACAATTTTATTTATTTATTTTTTTTTTATCCTCACCCGAGGATATTTTTCCATTTTTTATACAGATAGAGCTGGAGGGAGAGAGAGAGAGTGAGAAACATCGACATGAAAGGGACACATCGAGTGGCTGCCACCCGCACGACCAACCAGGGCCGGGGACAAACTGCAACCGAAGTACGTGCCCTTAGCGGGAACCGAACCCGGGTCTCTCCGGACCGCAGGCTGATGCTCTAACCGCTGGACCAAACAGGCCAGGGCGGTCATGGACAATTTTAAACAAAGGTAGGGCAAAGAGTACAATGACCCTGCCTGTGCCCATGGCCCTGCTTCAACAATCATCTCCCAACGGCCAGCCTCGTCTCTACCCGCCCACTTCCCACCTCCTGCTTGCCCTGCGTGAGACGGGCACGTGGAATGCAGCGAGAGGAGCCCAGGAGGGAGTGGAGGGCAGGAGGGGTGTCATAGGCTGCAAGGGGACAGAGCAGACGGAGTTAGGCCTGCGGGATGGTGGGCAGAGGCCACGGAGGACAAGCCCAGTGCAGAAGCGATGTACTCATGCGGGCGCTGGGCGGTGCTTAGCCAGAGGCAGGACCATGTCAGCACGAACTGCCCCCCTTGCCACAGTGGTGAACGCACGGGGTGAATCCCGTGGGGAACTCAGGCCGGCTGGGATGTGCTCCGATTCACAGCCGCTCTTGGTTTGAGTCAGGCTGAAGTCACCCTCCCCCAAATGTTGATGTTTCCAAGTACTGGGCTGCCCAGAGGGCAAGCCCGCGTCTCCGGAGTGTCCGCCCCTTGCTCCAGGTGAGTGAGAGGTTAGGACAGGAGCCCACGGCCTTTCACAGACAGCAGGCACCACCTGATGGATGGCAGCCTCGGGCGGCCCCAGCCTGGGGTACCTTCCCCTGCCAGCCTCAGGGACCCCCACGGGCCCTGCCCACCCCGCTGACATGTGCATGGCCTCCGCAGGGGACCCCAGAGGCATCCTCCCAGAGGCCCCTCGGCGGCCCTGCGCCCAGGGAGCCACGGGCTGGCCCCGCTGGGGGAGCAGGGCGCCAGCGGCCGATGAAATATGGGCTGCCGAGTGACAGCAGCTGTGTCTGGAGTGGCCTCAGGTCCCATAATTACATCTCCCTTTATTACCTCTGCTAATGGCCCTCCAGGTCGACAGAAACGATAATAAATTAACAGATTATGAACTCCACTTGCCACAAATTATGTGCTCTTTTTTTTCTTTAAATTCTAGGAGCTGTGCTGTCAAATCACTGGGGGCCGGGGGGATGGGGAAGAGCCTGAGCGTTATTAGATCAGTTGGTGCAGATAAAGCAACTTTCTGGGGGCAGCAGAGCTCAAGGTGGGAACCCTGGGGGGAGAGGCCAGTGGGCAGGAGCTTCGGCACCGCCTGAGGGGGCCAGGGCCCTCGGGGTCAGCCAGGCACAGCACCCCTCCCAGCAGCCCCCTGTCCCAGCATTGCTCATGACTTGCCAGAGGAGGAGCCCCACCCCAGCATGGAGAGGCAGACGTGAGGGGTGCCCTGCTGAAGGGCAGGAAGGAAGGGCTCAGCCCCTTTGTTTAGGTTTAAATCAAAGAATTTGTGCTTCTAGTAAAGTTGTAGGATGTGATGGGGTGGAAACTAGGAGTTCCAAATGTCTCATCTTTCTTGTGCACCTTCTGGGGGTTTCCTGTGCACAGACAACCACCGTGTGTGTGTGTGTGTGTGTGTGTGCGCGCATGTGTGTGTGTGTGTGCATGTGCGTGTGTGTGTGTGCGCGCGCGTGCGCGCCCACCCCCTCCATGAGTCATACTGTAACATTGCTTTACCCGCTTCTTTTACTTAACTAGATACAGTTGTAGCACTTACCATATGCTAAGCTGTTTCTGGGTGTGTGTTACAGGGGTTACACTTAGGTGGTTTCCTGCTTTGGACCACTTCAGACTGATCACGCAAACACCTTTACACATTTATCTGTGTGTATTTTTGTTGTTGTTGTTAATCCTCACACAAGGATATCCTTCCACCAATTTCTAGATAGAGTGGAAGGGAGGGAGGGAGGGAGGGAGAGAGAGAAGCATCCACGTGACAGACACATTGATTGGCCGCCTTCTGCACAACTCAGACCAGGGCCAGGATCGAACCCAAAACCCAGGCATGTGTCATCGACTGGAAATTGAACCCTCAACCCCCCTGTCTGTGGGCCGATGCTCCAACCTCCGAGCCAAATTGGCCAAGGCTACCCCTGTGTATTTAAACATACTCTCCTTTCTAGGAGAAATCCCTAGCTGTGGAATTGCTGGATTAAAAGGAGCCTACCTTTCATTTTGCGCTTGATTTAATTTTGTCTTTGGACACCTTAAACACCGACAGGTTCAAAAGCCCAAAGTAGGCAGAAATGTGTACACAGATGTCTCGTCTCTTGCCCGATCCCCTCCCCCTTCTTCCTCCTAGAGATAACCGTTTTTATTTCTCATTTTTTCCTCCTCGTGTTTCTTTTTTCAAATATTAGAAAAGGTCAAATATTCCTCCTTCTGGCACAAAAGGAAGCAGCCGTGCGCTGCCCAGCACTTTGCATTGGTTTTCAGAGCTATTTCCAGCTCCTTTGGAAGATGCTGGAGGAGGAGTCAGGGCCGAGTTCCCTACTCAGGCAGCCGAGCAGGGAGGTCTGGTTGTGGGCCTCCCAGGTACATCCTCCAAGGTTGGCACCGCCCCCCCCCACCACGTCTGCCCTGCCCCCTCCCCAGAGGGCAGCCCTGGCTCTGACTCAAAGGCAGATAAACCCACACTCCTGTCTAAAGGACTAAGAGGGACGAACCCAGTTCCTTGGGCACATTTTCTCGACATTCGAGCAGCAAGGCCCAGTGGCATTTGTCCATTCTCTCCTCTGACTTGAACACTTGTTGGGCACCCTTTTGGCACCAGGATGGGCGCTTGGCAGCGGGGGTGGGAAGATGACAGGCAGCTCAGCAGCCAGGGCGCACAGACACCGAGGCGCTGCCGTCGGAGGCCCCTCGTCACCCTTCAGAGCTCAGCCCCAACGTCTCCTGCAAAGCCTCCCAGACGCTCATTGGGCCACATCCCCTGGCCGTGTGTCCTCAGAGCCCTCATCTTGTCAGGGCTCTCCCTATCGTCCTAACTCCACTGTGACACGTGCCACTCAGTGTGTCTTTCTCTTTTGACCGTGAGCTCTTGAAGGCCAGCCCCGGTTCCGGTCTGCGCTTGCCGTTCTGTCCCCGGGGCCTTGCACAGGGCCTGGCGCTTAGTAGGTGCTCAGTAAATGTTTGTTGAATGAATAAAGGGGCAGAAGCGAGTTATTCTCATTCTTCTAGGGATCACACCTGCAGGAAGAACCTCACAGGGGGCTTCTCTCTTTTGTTTTCCAGAGGCCTAGACCTACCTCACCCTCCCTCTCCGCCACCTTCAGTTCAACTGTCTGTTAATTTTGCCCCATCCTCCTCCTACATCCTTCCTCCCATTCAGCCTGCTTTCAGACCCCCACCCCCACCCCAGTGCAGTCCCGCACTTCCCTAGAACACACACCCTCGTGGACGGTCTGATTGGTATCTGTTAATTAATGTCGCCCGAGGCCTCTCTTGCTCAGAAGCCCGATAAGGGAAATTGGATGTCCATTTCTATCTATCTTTTATTACCTCCCGGCTCTCCCCGCCACCACAGGGAGCCAGCCACACACCGGCTCCCACACCGGGATCCAGACAACACTCACGCACCTGACCCCGTGCCACAGCCTGTCACCTGCGAAGGGGCATCCATCCAGGCTCAGCCATGTCATCAGCGTAATTGATCCGGCTCTTTTGTCGGTCACCCCTGAATGCCAACAGCCAGGCGTTCATCCAAGGCCTGTATGTGCAGGTCGGGCCCAGGCACTGCGATGCGTGGACTCAGGGTGCTCACAGGGGAAGGGCAGCCTGCCAAGTACAGGGGGACCCGGCCCCAGGAGCGCCCCCTAGAGAAGAACACATGCACCGGTTGGAAGACAGGGAGGGCCGGTGGTTTTTAGAGCCAGGGGACAGCAGCTGCGGTGGGGATGGGCTCCAGGGAAGCCCAGAGCGATGGGCCAGTCCTGCAGCTCAGGACCACCCCGGCCGCCAGTCCCACAGGGAGGAGAGAACCGTGCCAACAGCATGCTAACAGCATCAGTGATATAGCAACAACAACACCCATCACCGCCGCCTGGCTCAGTGCTTTCACTCACCATCTTCATCCTCACAGCGCGCTGCACCCAGGCAGGGCTAGGTTCTGGGTCAGCAAATGAAGTGATGAGTCCTACATAATAAGCAAATTACCCTGCAAGTCCCTGAGTTTCAGGTGCCGTGATACATGGTACCAGTGGCTTTGTGGATACTGTTCCTTCTTTCAGCACATCTGGTGTGGGCCGTGTTGGAGCCAGTCCCTGAAGTTGCCACCCATGTGTAGTGACCGGCGACTTGAAAATCAGTTCCCTCCCTCCTTTCTTCCTCTCGCTCTCTTTCCTGTGTATCACGATGCTAACTGACTTTGCACAAGTTAAGCACATTTAAGGCAATTCCAGTATATTATTCTCATTTTGCAGATGAAGACTTTCATCTCATCAGTAATAATAACTGTGCTGTGTGTCCTATAACCACTGGCTCATTTAGACCTCACCAGCCACGCTCTGAAGCAGGCACTACTATTACACCCATTTCAGAGATGAGGAAGCTGAGGTTTGGAGAAGCTGAACAGCTTTCCCAAGGTCAGCCTACAGCTAGTAAACGGGGAGTCGGGATTCAAGCCCAGGCAATCTTTAGACCACACTGGACAAGGCAGTGTCACAGTCCCGGAGCATCCCTACGCCCAGGCTCACAGGATAGACTGCTGGGTCATTGTGTTTTTCTTTTTTTTTTTTTTTTTTATCCTCACCCAAGGATATTTTCCATTTTTTGTACAGATAGAGTGGGAGGGAGAGAGAGGAAGGAGAGAGAGAGAGAAACATCGACGTGAAAGGGACACATCGAGTGGCTGCCACCCGCACGACCAACCAGGGCCGGGGACAAACTGCAACTGAAGTACGTGCCCTTAGCGGGAACCGAACCCGGGTCTCTCCGGACTGCAGGCCCACGCTCTAACCGCTGAGCCAAACTGGCCAGGGCTCATTGTTTTTTTCTTTATTGATATTAAAGAGAGAGAGGAGGGGAGAGGGAGAGAGAGATAGAAACATCCATGAGAGAGAACATCGATTGGCCGCCGTCCTGCATGCCCCCAACTGGGGATCAGGCCCACAACCTGGGCATGTGCCCTGACCAGGGATCGAACCAGTGACCTCTTGGTACATGGGTTGACGCTCAACCACTGAGCCAAACCAGCCAGGCGCATGCTGGGTCATTGTTAAATGGAGAGTAATGGGCCTGGGCAGCAGGGGTCTGACCCCTGGGGGAACAAGCTGCCCCGTGACAAAGTGCCCCCTGACCCTGGGGCTCCTGAGCATTTTGTAGCCCCAGGTGGTGGTCACCGGAGGTCACTGGCCGGGAACAGCTGAGTCCTTGTTCCTGGTTGGGCCCCTGGGTCTCTGCACTGAGGGTCAGGCAGCCCTTTAGCACATCAGAACCTTCCTGGCTTGAGCAGCCCGGGAAGCCTGCGACCTCCCCAGACTATTCCGTGAACTCAGTAACTCCTTAAATTACAGATGCGTTTCATTAATCAAAAAGCCTCTGCAGACGTTTGAAAAATACCATAGAACTAATAGTAATGATGATGATAACAAGAGTCAACATTGACTGAGCTCTCGTTAGGTACGTCTTTTCCACGAAATCCAGGCCTGACTCATTCGCCAAGGGAAGGGCGAGGAGCCCTGAATCTACAGAGGGAGGGGCAGGGGCACACCCTGGCCCACCCACCTGACCATGCTGCCCTCCTGGCCCCTCTTCCCTCAGGCTTCTCGAACCTCTCCCTGGGCGACCAGATGAGCCTGCTGCAGAGCGCCTGGATGGAGATCCTCATCCTGGGCATCGCGTACCGCTCGCTGCCCTACGACGACAAGCTGGTGTACGCCGAGGACTACATCATGGACGAGGAGCACTCCCGCCTCGCGGGGCTGCTGGAGCTCTACCGGGCCATCCTGCAGCTGGTGCGCAGGTACAAGAAGCTCAAGGTGGAGAAAGAGGAGTTTGTGACGCTCAAGGCCCTGGCTCTGGCCAACTCAGGTAACAGCGAGTGTGGGACCCGTGGGTGGAGCTTTGAGACATCTCGCCAGGCCCAGGGAGCATCACCCTGAGGCCTATGTGAAGATGCTGGAGCCTCTTGTCACCAAAGATTGTGCAAGGGGTGGTCTGGGGTTAAAGGATGGCGATGAAGGCCGGCACTGGCGGAGTGTTTCCTAAGCCCTGCTTGCAGGGCACTGTGCTGGGCCCTTGGTCTCCAGACCAGCACGCTGGTTAAGGACAGATCGCAGAGCTAGGTCATTGAGTCAAATCCTGCTTCTTTCACTTGGGCAGGTTGTTCCACTCTGTGCCTCAGTTTGTCTGTCAGTAAAATGGGGACAGTAAACAGTCCCTACCCCACAAGACTATGGAAGGGATTTATTTGTACATAACTATATTATTCTGACAACATACCTGGCCCATAATAAGTGCTCAACCTGGTAAATAAATGAGTGAACTTATTTCACTCTTACAAACAGCCCTGTGAGCAAAATTCTTATTTTAACCCCGTTTTCACGGATATGGAAACTGAGGCTCAGAAAAGTGAAGCAAATTGTCTAGGGTTACACAGAGCTAGGAGTCAAATCAAGGTCCTATGATTCCAAAATCAACCTGACCTAATGCCCATTCCTTGAAGCTCACAGTCAAATTGCTTGGGCCCACGAGAGAAAACCTTCCAACTGAGCTGTTGAGTCTGGTGTCCAAAGGAGGCCTCGCTCCATTTCTTTAGCTCCCACCAGCTTCTGGGAAGAAGCTGGCACAGAGGAATGAGCTTGCATGTCGTCGAATCTGTGTCTACATGTGGCATACTCTTGATGCAGGGGACCACGCCGGGGCGTAGAAGGAGAAAGGCGTGGTCTCTACCCTAAAGACAGAGTCAGCACACACACGTGATTCTGCTACAAGGGTTACCTGTTCAAGTCTGGGTCAGATCGACCCAAGTTCACATTCTAACTCTGATCCTTGGCAGCAGTGTGACTCGGACACGTCGGCACCCTTCCTGAGCTCTGTCCTGGTCTGTAGAATGGGGGTATCCCAGGGCCTCCTCCAAGTGCTGTTGTATGAAATGATCGACTGAAGATAAAGCACTTAGCCCAGTGCCTGGCCTGGGGGAAATGTTCAATAAATATTAATTTTTATCATTATTATTAATAGAGGAAACAGTGTTATCAGCATGCAGAGGAGGGAGAGCTGGCTCCCGGATGGGGACAGTTCAGACAGACAGTACAAAGAGGGCCACCAACTGGCTTGCTTGATACTGTTGTACTTTTCCTGAAAGTCCCCTTTCCCAGGACACATCAGTGCCTGGCTAACCGGGTCAGTGGGTCCCCCTAGCAAATGGCTTCACAGAGAACGATCAGACCCCCTTTCCTGGGTCCATACATGGGGGCCCCGCTGCTGACAGCTCACAGGTGCCCCCTTCGCCAGAGACTCACCCTCACCTGCCAACAGGAGGGTTACCTGCCACACCCACCCCCCGGCACCTTCAGCACATGGTGGGCCCACACAGGGGAGCAGAAGGCTGAATCCCTTTCAGGGTGGGGTCAAGGGGAAGCCCAGGCTTCCTTGTCTTGCAGGTGCCCAGCCCTCTGGTCAAGCCCCCCTCTTCCTCTCCTGAAAGCTGCCCTTTATACACCCCATGTGTCTGAGCCCCTGCCGCAGCCTCTGCTTCTGGGGAATCTGACCTGATACAAAGAGGGAAGCATTTCTTAGTTCAAATCCCTTTTATTAATAAATAACTGCAAAATAGTAATTAAAATGTTACATGCTTCTAGAGAGACCATTTCTACCTTAAGATTCCCACCTTGTGATGTGTGTTTTGTGAGAGAATGCTGATGCTGTTAGGGTTTTAGTACAGTTTTAAAAAATTATTTTCTTTATTGATTTAAGAGAGAGGAAGGGAGAGGGAGAGAGATAGAAACATCAATGAAAGAAAACGTCAACTGACCGCCTCCTGCATGCCCCCCACTGGGGATCTGGCCCACAACCTGGGCATGTGCCCTGGCCGGGAATCAAACCGGCGACCTTTTGGTGCATGGGTCGATGCTCCACCACCGAGCCACACTGGCTGGGCAGTACAGTTTTATTTTTTTATTTTATTTTTTTTATCCTCACCCGAGGACATTTTTCCACTTCTTGCACAGATAAAGTGGGAGGGAGAGAGAGGAAGAGAGAGAGAGAGGGAAACATCAATGTGAAAGGGACACATCGAGTGGCTGCCACCCGCACGACCAACCAGGGCCGGGGACTAACTGCAACCGAGGTACATGCCCTTAGCGGGAACCGAACCCGGGTCTCTCCGGACCGCAGGCAGACGCTCCAACCGCTGAGCCAAACCGGCCAGGGCGGCAGTACAGTTTTAAATGGACAGAACAAGCAGATGGTATACAAGTCCATAAACCCCCTACCCTGTACCCAGTTCCCCTATTATGAGCCTCTTGTATTAGTGTGGTAATTTGTTACAATTAATGAGCCAATATTGATACATTATTATTAACAAAGTTTCATAGGTGCCATCAGGGTTTTTACTCTGCGTTGTTCAGGTCTAGAGGTTTTGACGAATGCATAACAACAGATCTCCATTGTCACATGTCATACGGGGTAGTGTCACCACCCTCACATCCCCCGTGCTCACCTGTTCAGAGGGCAGCGTCTTAAGCAGCATTGCAGAGGGGCTGGGAGTGTGGATGGGCACAGGAGGCGAGGGGCCACCGTGAGAGCGGAGGACACAGGGCGACCACAGTGAGACAGCAAGGCTGGCAGGCCGTTTGGATCCTCCGGACCACCTCACAGCAGACTGGAGCTCCAGCTTCCCAGCTGGGAGGAGACAGTGGAGCTGGGAGGCCACTCAGCTGTCACCTTCCTCCCTCCCGTCAACATCACGCTGCAAGGGCTGTCGGGAGGTTCTTCAGTCCAGACATACAGGCGTGCACTCATGCTTACAGATACTCGCACATACACACACACACACAAATGTACACACACACTCACACGAATAAGCACACGCACCACCTAAGGACCGATGGTGGTTTGGTGACATGAGCCCATCAGGAGTTTCTGTGAGCATCGCACTTTGCCTAAATACACACTTGGTCATGTGAGACGAAGTTCCAGGAATCCAGACTTCATGCCCCAGTGGCACCTACCAAGCCATCCTGCCGCGTATGTGCAGGTACAAGAGGCTGCAGGCGGAGGGTCTGACGCTGTGGCCCTGGCTGCACAGTGAGGCAATCAGCTTCCGGCAGAACGGGGGAGAACAGGCCTGTTTGGGGGTTAGGCTAGAAAAGCAGTCTGGGGTCATAGAGGCTCCCGGCCTGTGAAGGGATTGGGTTGTAATAGGGTCAGTACAGGGAACCATGAGAGTTGGGGGGGGGGTGATCTGTCCCCAGCAGCAAGGTAGGAAAGTCACCCAGGCAGACAGTGTGTTAGCTGGAAAAGAGCCAGGAGCCAGGAGATCATTGCCGGGGTCCTGGTGGCAGCCCCGGTGGACACTGTGGGTGCCAATGCTGACGCTGAGTGGATGGGACAGGACCACTCAGATGTGGCTCAGGGCGCTAACACTAGGCCGGAGGGTGAAGCACACAGAGACAGGCTGTGGCCCCAAATCATGGCCCCTTGAGAGCCTGCCGGCGACTTTCATCCCGTGTCCTGGCCCTCTCCAAGGCTCCCTGACAGCAGAAAAAAATCATAGCCATTGATTTTGTAATTAACAGTTTATCAATGCCATCGATATGGACGAGCTGATGGATTGCAAAGAAATTAATCTTGCAATGTTATTTTATTTCATTTTTGGTCGAAGGCAGCTGCCAATTTTGGCCTCCTGGGTAGGGGGGAGGGGGAGGGGGAAGGAAGCTGGCAGGAGGCAGGGCATCTGGACGGCCAGGTCCCAGCCTTACAGGGGCCAGCATATCTTTAGTGCAAGCTCTGTAAACAGTGGAGTGGAGCCCTGCTTCCTCTGCAGCTGGCACAGGGTCCTCACTGGGAACAGGAGCAGAAAAATGTGGAGGGGTCTTGGGTATAGGGCCAGTAATAACCCAGCTCTGCAAGGGCACTCACCCCCAGTCTGAGTCCTCACAATAATGATCGTAACATTTATTGGGTGCTTACTAAGTGCCAGGTAACGTGCTACTTCATTTAACCCTCACACCACTCTGTGAGGTATGCACTCTTATTTGCTCCATTTTGCGGAACAGGAAACAGTCTCAGAGAGGCTAAGTAACTTGCCCAAAGCCACACAGCATCTAAGACTCCAGAGTTTTATCTAGCTCATCCTACTGCTATCCTCCCAAGAGAAAGAGGCAGAAGCCTTGAAGGCACAGGCTGAGCGTGGACCCAGAAGGTCGGGGGGCAGTCATTGGTATCATCTGGTTGGTACAGTTGCCCTTGGCAGTCTGGTATCTAAACCAACCAACATGCAAAGGAATTGCCCTGCTTCTTTAAGCACTGAGCCAAAGCGGCCAGGGCGGGAATTGCCCTGCTTCTTTGAGTGATTGAGGAAACTTGCCCAGCCTTCCTTGGATACACACCTGGAGCTTCAAGCTCCCTTGACGCGCATGCTTCCGTTCCCTCCCACCTCTGGCGGCACCGGGGCTGCAGTTCAGGATGGTGGCTCAGGATCTTTAAGGAACATCAGAAGAAGGCTGGTTATTTTTCCTGAGGCCAGGGAATGGGCTCCAGGATATTCCCTTAGCTTCAGCTCAGACCTAACTGTAACCCACCCATCAGTGGACACCTGACCTGCTGAGATTTAGGTAAATTTTGTTTGAATCCCCAATTCATGGCCAGAGTTCAAAGCTCTCCCCAGGGTTTTAGATTGCAAGGGTCTCTTCCAATAGCTACCTTCACCACTGTGCCCATGTGTCCAGCCATGCTATCTCAGAACCCACCACAGGGCACCCAGACACAGCTCAGCCTCCTCGTCTGTCTGTATTTTGCAACCAGCATTTTGTGAGGTTAGCGATTGTACTAAAGGCTAAAACGGGTGCCTGGCAGCGGTAGTGTTGATGGTGATGATGGTGGTGATGGTGATGATGATGGTGATGGTATGATGGTGGTCATGATGGTGATGGTGGTGGTGGTGGTGGCGGTGATAGTGATGATGGTGGTGATGGTGATGATGATGGTGATGGTATGATGGTGGTCATGATGGTGGTGGTGGTGGTGGTGGTGGTGGTGATAGTGATGATGGTGGTGATAGTGATGATGGTGGTGATGGTGATGATGATGGTGATGGTATGATGGTGGTCATGATGGTGGTGGTGGTGGTGGTGGTGGCGGTGATAGTGATGATGGTGGTGATAGTGATGATGGTGGTGGCAGTGTTGATGGTGGTGGTGATAGTGATGTGGTGGTCATGATAGTGGTGGTGGTGATGGTGATGATACTACTAGCTGGACACTTACTTTTTATTGTTTTAAGCCCTTGACCTGTATTAACTCGTTTAACCTCTTGAGGTAGGTACGGCTATCATCTCATTTCCCAGTGAGGAAAATGGGGCACAGAGAAGTTCAGTAACTTGCCTAAAGTCACATAGCTAGCAAGCGAGGGATGCAGGGTGCCGCCTCACCGGTCTGCCCCAGAGCGCACCCAGCACCAGCAGGGCAGTGGGAGGTCTGTCCCTGTCCAAGCCCTCCCGGGTCTCCGCTTCTATCTCTTGGTGGTTTCTCAAGAAATGTCCTCCATAGATAGAGATCTGTCCCCGGCTCTGTGGACTCTGTGACTTCAGACTTGCAGCCCAACCTCTCTGACCTTTGGTTTTCCTCTCCCTAAAGTGAGGACTTGGATGGCTTCCGAGCAGAGCCCAAGGTCCTGTGGTGGCCCCTTGGTGGCGCTTTCCACCCAGGGCCGCTGACGCTCGCCCTTGTGCCCACAGATTCCATGTACATCGAGGATCTGGAGGCGGTCCAGAAGCTGCAGGACCTGCTGCACGAGGCGCTGCAGGACTACGAGCTGAGCCAGCGCCACGCGGAGCCGCGGAGGACGGGCCAGCTGCTGCTGACGCTGCCCCTGCTGCGGCAGACGGCCTCCAAGGCCGTGCAGCACTTCTACAGCGTCAAACTGCAGGGCAAGGTGCCCATGCACAAACTCTTCCTGGAGATGCTGGAGGCCAAGGTCTGACGGCCCACGCACAGACCGACTCCTGCCTGTGGACAGACAAATGGACGGCCGGTGCAGAGACCTCCACAGCCGCCAGCCTCGACCTGCAAGCCCTGTGTCACGGGCATGAGCCGTCCCAGAAGAAGGGGCTTCTTGCCTCCTGGCCGTGTGCAGAGTCCTGGGTGCTGTGGGGCAGGGGAGCAGGGTGGGAGGGCAGGGCCTGGGGCTCATCTGTAACTGGCTTTTTCTTTGGTATGATTTTCCTTCTCCATGGGCAGTGCTGAGGCCTGGGCCAGGGCTGACATCCCTGAGACTGGAGACCACCGAGGAAAGGCCCCTTTCCCCACCGAACCACCAAGAGGCAGCGCAGACATTTCCTGACCCCCCCCCCCCCCAGCCCTGGCCTGGTGGGCAGTGCTAGCGTCTAGGACCTGGCACACTCAGCCTGTGTGCCACCTGCGGTGTTCCTTTCTCAGAGGGCAGGCCCTGCTCCCAGAGACCCTGCCTACTCTGAGGTTCCCAGGGTCCCACCAGAGGCCCCACGTCTTCCCCAGGCCGGCGGGCCCTCCCTCCACACTTCCCGGGCTCTGCACACGCCCAGCTCCCAGCAGGGACTCGCCGTCGGGAGAGTAGCTGCTAGAATGCATTTTCCTGAGCCCCACAGCCCCCCTCGCCCCCACCTGGCAGTCCTCTTTTTCCTATTCTCCCCCAGGAGCCCCCCTGCTACTTCCAGCCCACTCAGAGCTCAGACCATGGCGCAGCCAGCCGAGGTGACCACCCCAGCTGGCAGTGCTGACTCCCAGAAGAGCGTCCGAGAGCCGCCCTTGCTCCCTGCTTCCCCCTCTGTCAGCCTCTGGAGCAGGTGGTCTGTGGGAAGCGGGGGATATGCAGGACCCTGGCCCCATCCAAGGGCACCCTGGGCACCCCGAGTCCGGGCTGGCAGTCCTCGGAGGATCCAAGCAGGATGTGGAGAGACCCAGCCCAGTCTCGCCTGAGCATGGGAAAGTCCGGAAGCAGAGATGAGAAGGCAGGAGAAACCTGAAGACCTGGAGCTCAGTGGGGGTCAGCAGCCAGGACAGGAGGGGTAGCTCCTGCCACCCTTGGACTAAGGAGGTGTGGGGCACTGCGAGCGTCCAGCTCTCTGGCAGAACCACCCCAGCCCCCTCGCTGCTGTGCGGGGTGACCAGACACCCCAGTTTGCCCAAGATGTTCCTGGTTTTAGCACTGAAAGCCCTGTGTCTCAGGAAACCCCTCCGTCTGGGCACATGGGGACAGTTGGTCACCCGAGTGGCCATGAAAATCCATTGTAACCCACTGGGGGAGCACAGCTCGGGGCACCCTGCCTGGCGTGCACAGGTTGCTGAGGGCGGCTTCGAGATGCCCGAGGAGGAAGGGTTCCCAGCATGATGGAAGATGCCCTGCTAAGCAGCTGCCTTTTGAAGCATCAGAGCCACCCCACCTGGGACACTTTTCTGGGGAATTCACATCCATTCTAACTCAGCCTCCCACCGCTGGAGAGGCAGGCAGACCCAGCCACCCTCGCTCAGACACCAGGAGGCCAGGTGCCCTCACCTACAGCCACATGGTTTTCCTAAGACAAGCAGCTGGTTCCACCCCCATCACACACACACACACACACACACACACACACACACACACCAGTGCTTCAGGCACGGGGTTGTTTAAAACCCAGCAGCTGGAGAGCAGCTGTCTGATGGCCCCACGCAGGAAACGTCAAGGGTTCCCAGGGACTCCGACCAGTGGTGTGTGCTCCCTCCCCTCCCCTTAGGCTGTGGGGAACCAGGGCCACAGTCAACTGGCAGCATTGGAATTACCCTCCAGGATGCTCCATCCCTAGCTCTGGGGGTCCCCATTGTCCCTGGTCTGGGTGGACACACAGTCACCTCAGCATCAAGAATCCAGGGCCAAAGCCGAAGTCTAACAGCCGTTAGCGGCTGTGCCCTGAGGTCTGGACTGGAGAACCCTGGGTCTGAGAACTTGGGTCTGCCTCTTGCTGTGCCGTGTGCTGGAGGAGGCGGGGCCCAGGTCGGCACTGTCACCAGGGCACCCACCCCGTGCAGTGTCACGTCCTCTCCAGCCTGAGGCCCACACCGCCTGGCACGGCGGGGCTCGTGTCCGGCTGGCATCCACAGGCCATCTCTAGGACAAGGTTTGCTGGCTGCCGGGCCCGTGCCGGCGCGGAGTGGGGGCGTTCTGCACACAGGACAGCTCTGCCTCGTGGCACCTCCCTCTTTGGCAGGTCTCCTGGCACCAGATCCCCTTTCCAGCAGAGGGGCGGCGGCCTGAAACCTGGGTGCTGATGAGGGGAGATGGATGCTGCTGATGCTTATGCGTAAGAACTAAGGCAACAGGAGTGTGTCAGTAACACCAGGAGCTCCGCCCTGGGCAAGGCCGCTGCACACTTGGTGGAGCCATTGACCTTTGGAGAGCAAGTGCGGGGGAGGAGGCCTCACGCTCTGGGACCTCCCTGGGAAGAGGGCGGCCCTGGCTTAGTTGGGGATGATGAGGTGAGGAGAGTTTAGGACACCTGGCCCTCCCAAATAGGACAGAATTCAAGTTCACCCCAAAACCTGCTGTTCCCGGAAAACCTGTGAAGCGGAAATAACCCTTCTCAGTTGTATTCTCATGATGCAGGTCATCGACATGAACCAAGAAATAAAATGTAAACATCCAACCTGGAGAAAGGTGGTACTGACTGGGTTTTGTTTCCCCGTGTCCCCACCCTTTCAGAAGCTCCCGAGCTGGCCTTGTCACGTGAGCCCGGATGGTGGCTCCAGTTGTGCACCCAGGAAACCACTTACTTCCCAGGGTACAAGTTAGCCCAGTGGGAGGCTCAAAACCAGAGTGGGGATGGGCGGGGGCGTGGCAAGGCCTTGGAGGAGCCTGCACCTGCATGCACCCCTGTGTTGGGGCCACCTGTCCCTCGGGGCTCTCCCCCTGCAGATGGGGGGTAACCTGAGGGGGGTGATAAACCTCCCACAAGGAGACGGCGGGGGGGGGGGTCCCCATGCCCACAGGACAGCACCAAAGAAAAGCACCATGTGGAAAGATTGTTTTATTTTCTAATAATGATGATGTGGCTGGAATATCTTCTGAAGATGTATATATATTTTCAAAATGGCAGTCCCTCCTTGCATCACCCACCTGTACGTACTTCCTCCTCTGTGTGTGTTCCCCCAAAGACCCCGTGTAAATGAAACACCCTAGGAGTCTCCAGTCCTGGTCCCATGTATCTGGAATCTAATAAAGAAGGAACGGCCTGGAGAATTTCTTCACGTTATCTTTTGGGCCAGCTGTCCCCTGGACAGCACTGCTGGCGGTCCCGGCTCATGCCAGGAGAGGCCGTGGGTCAGCCAGCTCAGCCTGAGTTCTTGGCATTCACGCGTGTTCCGCAAACGAGAAAGCAACTTGAGACGTGTGGTACAGGTCAAGGAGCTGTCTACTGCTTTTTAGACTCTTAATATTAATGGTGAGGCACTCTCTGATTTTCATTAATGCCAGAGAAATGGAACATCAGATGTACGGGTGCCAAAAGCAGTTCATTGCTTAGGACTTCGAAACGCACCTGTGTACGCATGCGCCTAAGGCCCACTGCACGGAGAGCCCACGTGTCGTACGCGGGCGCTCCGACCAGTGAGAGGGGAGGGCAGGGCCTGAAAGAAAGCAGAGAGACTGTATCAGGGTGCCTTTTGCTGCAAGTCGAGGAGCACAGGGCACACTGGCTCCCGGTCCACTGCCTCGGGTACGCGCGGCACTGGGAAGGGCGCAGCGTCAGGCAGGGTCTGGTGCGGAGGTTCGGAGTCAGCAGGGCTCTGGCTCCACACTGAGTCCCTCTGCCCTCTTCCGTCTGTTCACTTTGTTCGCTTTCATGGTACAAGAAGGCTGCCGCCTTTTCGTTTCGCATCATGGGGAGAGAGTGAAAATCTCATTCTACAACCGTGGAAATACCTGGGCTTCTTTCTGAACCTCGGTGGTGGTTGTGCCTACCCTCCGGTGAATCACTGTGGCCGGCTTGGGGTGGGGCCAGCCCACGCAGCAGTCCGGCTGCTACACAGACATGGTTGGGCCGGGAGTCTGGGCGACAACCAGCCAACCACAGTGCCCACCGGACCACCCACCCGCACAGCTGGAAATCTGGCCATTCAGTGAGCCGTTTGCCAGTGTCCTGAAGCTCTTGGAGACAGGATCCACGTGGCAGGCTTAGACCTCAGACCAGGCATGTCTGGTGCACACGCTGTGTTACGTATTGTAGGATAGAAGTGCCTACACACAGCTGGTATTCATGCTGCTGCCTTCAGAAGAGGGTGACTAGGAAAGGGTCAACCACAACATCCTCGGCTGTATGTTAGGGTTCTCTGAGCTCCTTCTTCTTGCCCAGATCACTGTGCTCACACCAGCTCATAGCTCCTCTTTTTCCAGATTTCGGCCTCTATCTCTCCTTATTCATTCTCCAAAGAGTCTCTCCTTTTTGTTACCAAAGAAGTGAAAGGGGAAACACAACTAAGGGTCATCCATTCATTCAACAAATCTTTACTGAGGGTCTGCCCTGTGCCAGGTGCTGTTCTGGGGCAGAGACCGTCTCACTAAAGAGAACAAGCACAGTCTCCATGGCACACAAGTCTAGTGGGAGGAAGACAGAGGCAGTGAGCACAGTGAATTATAAAATTCCATAGTTTGTTAGGTGATCAGTTCTGTGAGGGGGGAAAAGCAGGGTATGGGGGATCAGGAATGGAGAAATGGGATATAATTTTTCAAGGAGTGCTCAAAGCAGACTCAGTGAGAATGTTACATTGAACAGTAAATTGAAAAAAGTGAGGGCCATGTGGGTGTCTGGAGGAAAAGCTCTCCAAGCAGAGGGACCAGCACATGCAAAGGCCCTGGGGTAGGAGTGTGTCCGGTGCATTCCAATGATACCAAGGAAACAAGTGTGACTGAAGTGGGATGGATGAGGTAAGGGGGATGGGGCAAGTCATGTAGGGGACAGGAGGCCAGAGTAAGAATGACTGTCACTCCTCATGGAAGATTTTGAATAAAAGAGCTTTCAGCTTCTGTGTTGATAACAGGGTGTAGAAGGACAAGGGTGGAAGAAGGGAGACCCTCGGAAACCCCTGATGTGGACCAGTGGCAGAGGAGAACAAGTGTTAAGAAGCATTTGGGACCTGACCAGTTTGGCTCAGCAGTTAGAGCATTGGCCCAAGGACCAAAGGGTCCCGGGTGTGATTCCTGGTCAAGGGCATGTACCTGGGTTGCAGGTTCGATCCTTGGCCCCAGTCAGGGTCGTGCAGGAGGCAACTGATCAATGTGTCTCTCTCACATGATTTCTCTCTCTCTCTCTCCCTCCCTCCCTTCCACACTCTCTAAAAGTCAATGGAAGACTATCCTCTGGTGAGGATTAACAAACAAACAAAAAAGAAGTGTTTGGGCCCCGGATCTATCCTGAAGCCACCAGGACTTGCTGACATTGGATGTGGAGTGTGAGAGGAAGAGAGGAGACACGCAACTAGGAGGGCAGGGACGTCACCCACTGAGGCGGAGACTCCGTGACGGCAGGTGTGGGCCGGGAGGGAGAATCGGCCATGGTGAATTCGGGATGCTCCTGAGCCTCGGGCGGGGAGGAGCCAAGAGGGCAGCGGACCATGGGGTCGGCTACATGGGATGGGGAATGAGCTTCCCTCAGTGGCAGATGTGAGCACGGAGGACCCTCACCAGCGGCGATCTCCACCCTTCCCGCTCATGCCCAGCCGGTGCCGCCATCGCTCTCTGCCTAGCCCCAAGGGCAGTGCATAAAACTCATCTTAGAAACCCAGCTTTTGGAGCAGAAGGGGCTCTGCAATCACCTTTTTATGTCATTATTTTGACTGGAGTCGCCTTTTGTTGTCACTCCGGGGGTGCTGCTGGCATCTCGTGGGCGGAGGCCAGGGATGCTGGCATCCTATGGTGCACAGGTGCCCCAGCCACATCAAGGGGTTATCTGACCCAAAATGTCAGCAGTGCTGAGGTTGAGAAACCTCGATTCGTACACATTCTGGTCATTATCAAGAAAATATGCCCAGGATTCCAGGGAACAGAGTTTGGGGGTATCAGCTCATTACCAAGCTCCTCCCACAACCAGATGCCACCTCTACCTCCCTTGGGGCAAACACCGCAGGCTTCACGTGAACGGCTCCTGTGCAGGCACCCAGCTGTGGAGGAGAGGGGGCCCCGGACCGCAGTCTCCCTGTGGTCCCCACCGGTCTCCTTTCGTCTGTAAACATTGGGTTTGGGGAGGAACACAGCACCTGCGGCTTCACGTGTGGAGGAAGCAGGGACCCCTCTGCAGACCCAGGTGCTCCCTGTTTAAAGGGCTAAGAACAAAGGTCACTCCTGTCCCCCTCCTCCTCACCCACATGGCCCTCGCCCATGGTTGTCCCCACATTTCTGCTCCGTGTTTTCTTTCATTCCTCCCCTAGCCTGAGATGGGCAGGGAAACCTGGGCTCAGCCGTTCAAACTCCATCCAGTTTCTGGTGGGCAGAAGCCTTCTTCTTTACAGGAGGGGCGGGGTGCAGCTAGGAGTCTTTAGGGACCTTTTCCTACTTACTTTTTCCAAGACATTGGTGTCACTTCTGCAGGCATCCCTCCCTTGC